CTATAACTTATAACATTGTAAATGCTTTTTTATTTTCCTTTTAAATTTATGGGAAGTAATTTCCATGAAAAGTCTTAACAAAAACTTCTCAAGCAAAAAATGAAAAAAAAAAAAAAACAATTAAAAAAAAGAAAGTCTTGTTAACATCCTCTATTTATGGCAACAGCAGCTGAACTAAATACAACTAAGCTGCCATGATTATCACACACAGTTTATCAAAGCCAGGCCTCTGCATTGTCTGCTTTAAAAAAATGCTTCTTGAGCAAATTACACTGAGGACTGCTGATTTATTGGTTATTGCCTCATAATTGGAACCATGCTCATTGAGATATACCTAACTTGTTTTGTTCARCTGTTATTCAGTCATAGATCTGATATCACATAAGCAGTTTGTTGTTTYTCCACAGTGTTTTATTAATGTGAATATCTGAACTTTGATCTGATGTTTTTCCTTCCAGCCTATCACAGTGTTGTCAACTTTTTACACAGATTTTGTTTTGCTAAACAATTGAACTTGAATAGATTTTCTACACAGAAGAAGCTATTTTTCTAGCTCAATTTCTTTCATGTGCAGACYTTATTGTGTCGTGTCTAATTCATATCAACCCAAAGGAATAACACTGCTTTCACAATCTATATATTTATTGAGTTAACTTAGTAGCGGGAGACAGCACTGTCAAAGTTTCTTCCCACTGTATTTTATTTTTTTTCTCTTGTCAAAGATTTCCTTCCACATTTTGCCAAAAGCACAATTCTTCATACATTTTAAAGATAAGCACTTTTGCCTTCTCTGGCTAAAGTTGGAAGGTAGTGCCCATTCAGTTCCCAAACATGTGGAAAATAAATATTACATTTTGTTTGCACTTCACAGGCATTGATTTTATGAAGCACATTTAYTCCTCAGACACTGGGTGACCGTAAGATGATTCACACTGAGGWGAAAGCTGTTTAAACTCATGATTACTGGTTTGTGGGCTACTTTTCAGACTCTTATAGAGCCAGGGGTAAAAATCTGTGCAGCATCTTTCAGTCATCCACTTCTGTTCTGTTCAGAAAACCCAGGMATGGAGTCCCTGCAGGGATTTATAGGCAGCACTTTATCAAAAACATCAGATATTTCCCCCAAAAGCAGAGCCTCTTTGGCTCCCTTGTGTCTCCTCTTGTTTTTGTTATCTTTCACCCCAGACTGTTTTGATTCTTCCTCTGCAGAGAAACTGCTCACGTACGATTGTGTGGCTCCATCTGAGAGCGCAACGCTGACGTTTGTTTGTATGTTTTTGGAGGATTCTTGGTGTATTGATGAGCGTTCTCATAAAAGATTCATCTGCTGATGCAGCCTTGCTTGAAGGATATGAAAAAGCTTTCCAAGATTACAGTTTCCCTTGACCCTCGCGATGGATCCATAAACATTTAACAAGCTTTCACTTGATGTGCTGAGTGGCAATGAGGATGCCAACACAAGAAGAAAAGGGCACAAAATAAGTCCTGACTTGCAAGGATGCAGCATAATCACTTCGGTCAGTTGTGCTGATTAACATAGAAAACTGCAATTAGCTCAACTCAGAATTCTTTAAGTAGTTGGTGTAATGAATAGATTGGTAGAGTTATTGATAAAACATCCAAAAGGCTGCACAAACACATACATTGTGCTTCACTAACAGCTGTTKTGTCTGTGAGACTGACTCAATGATTTGACCTGGTTCAAATCAAATATTCTGATGCTTTAAGGGCAAACTGATGGCTTGACCTTTCAGTTTTTTGTTTAAATTGTCTACCTAATTTCATCATTTGTTTGTAGTCTACTATTGTTGTTTTTCGATTATATCATTGGAGCTTCATGTCAAGGTTGATGCAGCAGGGTATAACGTTCTGTCTCGTGCAAAAGTGAAAAGGTAGCTGAGGCGAGGAGCTCACTGAATTTCGCATCATGCAGGCGTAATTTTGTCTTCAGACATATTTGAGCTTTCGTTGTGTTTTTATAAAGTTTACTGCGTTTGAAAGCAGATCATGTTTGTGTAGCACTTGTTTATTTCTGTTTTGTGGTTTTGCTACGTGTGTGTGTGCGTGGCTACATTTTATCTTGTCTCTCAGCAGGGATTCTTTCCTTCATCTTTTCCAAACAAACACTGTTTTTTGCCAGAATTATTGTTGGTCCCAGCAGGCAATCCTCTGGACGACTGCTTGACAAAGTCTTTGAACACATTGCTTTATAAGTGGTTGGTGGTAATTATAATTGATGCAAAAATAAACTTGCCTTTGATTTAGAAAATTTCTTTTAATTCTTATGTCCTAAACATTTTTGTGTAGGATCATATTTACTCTGACTATGCAGCTTATAATCTTTGCTTCCTTAATTGGGAGATTTGAATGTTTTATTTTTAGCTAGATGAAACATTATGCATTGCTTTTTGGAAGTTTATAAGGCTTTTTAGTTGTTTTTGAGTAAAAAGATTTATGGGTCACGATGAAAGGTTTCATTTGCATTTTGTGGGTCTATTGTAGGATTAGGAAAATGATCCAATTATAGAAGTCATGTTTTTACAGAGAATATGGTGTCACTTTTATAATTAGTTGCCTGTTCATTTCTTTCATATTTTTACTTAAAACTATTCATTTTGGCACTCTGGGTAACAACAGAATTTTAGAAGATGATGCTATTTTCATTTCTTAGTTCAACAAAAGAAGGTTTCATTTTGAATTCATGTCCTCCGGTTGTGTTTCCAAACGGCACCATGCTGATGTTCATTTGTCAACTGCACAGAATACTCTCAATCTAGGTTTTGAGAAATCCTTCTAAGAGCTCTTTCACWGCCTTTTAGTTATTTTCTTAATGACTGTGACTCATCTGTCACTCCCAAAAAATAAGAAATATTCTAGTTTTTAAGTTATTTTACTAAATTCATTACCTGTCCTTTCCTGATATTGACACTGACTAAAGCACAGTTGTAACTAAACTAATTAAGTTTCATGTTGAATTTTATGAAGTTGTTCATCAAATGAAATCTTAGTGCTCAAAACAAACAAAAACATTCACTTGATCTCAGTAAAAAAATCTTGTATACCAATGGATCAGTTTTTTTCTTTCTTATCAAATTCTTCACTGTAGAAAAATAAATAAATAAAATAAAAGCTGAACAGAGTACCCAGCTGTTTGTGTCAGTGTAAATTAACTTTAAAAAGTTAATGGACTGGAACTTGACTGGAATTCAGTTAATGAAAGTCATTAACTTTATTCTAGCTCTAAGAATAAAAAATCTAAAGTTCTTCGCTTTCTATTGTTTATCTTGAGCCAGACGTGCCCACCACTGTCCTCTGTTTAGAAGAGAAGAGATTTCAAAATTAATGTTCTTTGAAGTATTGAGATTCCCCAGCATACGCCATAAAGCTCAAGACACAACATCTAACTCAACTCTTTGTGGTTACTTTTCTTGGTACGTTACATCAGTGCCAATGTAGAAATGTTTGTCAAACCTAAAGTTAGAACCAGTTTGAAGGAACGGAGTACTTTAGTCCAGGGAATTAAATTATGGAATAATCTGGAAGATAGTGTTAAAAATGCCAGATCAGTGTGTATATTTAAGAAAATGATAAAGGTGTATTGCATATTAAAAACACAGTTGACCAAAGCRTTTTACAATTCAGCCAAGCAAAAAATTAAAGCAAAAGTAAAATCAATAAAATAAAAGAAACAATAAAAGAACACGTACTGTACGTGCTAAAATAAAATGCAGAAACAACATGAAACCCTCAGCTGCTTTGGATCTAATTTTCTGTTTGAATYAACCACGAAGGATCGATAAAGGGTCTTAAACATAGATTTAAAAGGCTCAAAAGTTTCAGCTGTCCATACAGAGGTAAACTGTTCCACTGGATTAGAGCAGCAACTGTCAAAGCCTGATCACTTTTATGTTTTAGTTTGGATTTTGGAACGTTTCAGTTGCACGTTGGTAACATTTAGTGAAAAATAGCTGTTTTGTTATTTTAATGGCTTTTGGCTTTCTTTGTGCTATTTCTGTGAATCAAACCAAACGCCTGCAGAAGCCAGAAAATATTTCCTCGTAACTCAGAAAGTAACATTTATTGCTCTTTAGGAAGGTACTGAAATGGAAGTGAAAGTGATACTATTATTATTTAATCAGTGGAAACACAACATAAATGAAAATCGTAGCACATTGAGTTTTCATGTATTGTTTTTTTACACCATTAAATCCATTACATTCAAGGCCCATGAGAGGTTTGAGGAGCCCAAGCTCGAGGCTGTGAGCGAGAACAACGTTGAGCTGGTCCAGGACATCCTGAAGGAGCTCAGCCCGCTCGCACAGAGAAGCCAGGCAGCCGACGAGCTCGTCCGAATCCTGAAAGAGCCTCATTTCCAGGTTTGCAGAGAACTGCTGCCATCTTACTTAATCCACAAATTTGAACACTTTGATTCATTTGCAATGAGCTACTAGTGTTCAAAATTCAACATCATCTCCAAACAGAGCACAGCCACCCACTTCGTATGTTATCACCCATTAAATGGACGTTATTAGCCATTATCAGTCCCTTAGAATGGCTTCAGACTGGCTTCAGACTGTCCCGACTGTGCCGCCTAGTGGGTTCTCCATCCCATAGCATGGCTTCAGATTGTCAGCTGGTTAGTATGAGGCGTCAAGCCACTAAGGTTAATTTTATAGAAAATGACATGGTCTACGATAAAGTGGACCGGACTCCGGCGGTAGCAGATTGTTGCATTCCAACATAAATGGCACTGGTAACCCACTAGGGGGCACTGTCGGGAGAGTGTGAAACCATTCTATGGGACTAATAACCGCTAATAACGTCCATTTAATRGACTGATAACATCCAAACCGGCTGGCACAGCACTGCCCTGCTGATTATTGCGGAATTAGTTGCCTGATTGCGTCACTCTCATTTTGCTCACAGTCCCTCCTAGAGACCCACGATTCTGTGGCTTCCAAAAACTACGAGACTCCTCCTCCCAGCCCCTGCTCGTTCATGGACGCAGCCCTCAACAATCAGCCCGTTCCCCCAGATGCGGTCAGGATGGTGGGCATCCGCAAGGTGTCTGGAGAGCACCTGGTAAGATGGCTCAGCCAGGTTCAATCCACGCCACAATCTCAGAGAATCTTTAATGTATCTACTGCCATTTTGTGCATAGGGCGTGACCTTTCGAGTGGAGAGCGGCGAGCTGGTGATTGCCAGAATTCTTCACGGTGGCATGATTGACCAGCAAGGTTTGCTCCACGTGGGCGACATCATCAAGGAGGTGAATGGCAAGGAGGTGGGCAACGACCCCAAAGTACTCCAGGAGATGCTGAAGGAGGCGAGTGGCAGCGTTGTGCTGAAAATCTTACCCAGCTACCAGGAGCCACACACGCCGAGACAGGTCAGTGCATTTCAACCAGGAAGGAACCCTAGAATACAGTATTTTTTTTGTGTGTGTTTTATCTTTTTTTATGATTTTTCCCCTCCTGTCTTTAATATGCTTGGCCAAGAATTGTTGAAACATTTTAGGTGGCACAAGTTAGTGGAATGTAATACATACACTCAAGAGTTGTATGTTTGGCCATTTTTTATTACGTGATTTACATTAAAAAAAATCTATATTTTACTTGTTGCATGTAAGTCGGCAAGCGATTTGTGTAAAGTTGGGAAATGTCTTTGTGTCAGCTAATGAGCGCCGGCCTTCTGTGAGCCGAAGGAGGCCGGTCAAGCTGAAGATGTGACTCAGTTTAGATGAGAGATCTTATCTGCTGCTGTTTTGCCAAATTGATATGAAGAATGAGAATAAGGAGATAAAACGAACACAATTCTGTGACTGATTGCTCTCAGCAGTAGCTGAGCTGGAAGAAGCCAGGCTGAAATTAATTTTACAACAAACTAAAGTGCACTCGAATGTAATTTCTAGGAAAATGATTCACAAAAGGTCTGCGGGGGTCTTGTGATAGACTTGTAATGTAAGTTTGATGCATAGTTTGCTGTTGATTAGTTTAAAAAGAAAACAAGTTTTGCTGTTGTAGGATTCTTTCACATAGCTGCTGAAAGAAAAATGATTTTCTTGGTTTTATTTGGTTTATTTTTTTAGTTCTGCTGCTGTTCTTAGTTTGCTTTTGCCTGACTTTGTCAATTTCATTTCTTTTTCATGTTTGTGCCTCAGGGTGCTGCTATTTATGTATTTTTTTCTGTGCATTGTCCTTGTTTGTTGAACAAGTCATTTTTGTCACTTAGAGCTTTTGTTTTTGCAATTCACATTTCACGTGTCTGAGGCAAAATGGAAAAATGTTCTGTGATCGGAGAAATTGAAATGTGAAATTCTTTATAGAACCCACCAACACTACGTCCTCTCTTTAGAGCAGAGGAACCATACATCCTGATATCAGCCCACACACAAAAACATGTTTGCTTCTCTGATAGTATGAGGATGCATTGGTGCTCATGGTAAGGACAGCTTACAGATCTGGAAAGGTGTCACCAATGCAGGAAAGTGTAAACAGTTTTAGAACAACATACTTTAAATTCCCTTCTAAACTCATCTTATTCAAGAAAGACTTTGCATGTTTCAGAGAGACTATGTTTACGCTCACCCTGCATCCATTTCAGCAGCATACATGGTGCTGCACTGGCCTGCCTGCAGTCCAGATGATTTAAGACATTTGATGCATCAAAAAAAAAGGCAACAAAAACATCAGCAAAAATTTTACTAACATAGTTTTTGGTAAAGCATCAATGGTGTGGGAATTGTTTTAGGGCTGCAACGATTAATCGACGACTAATCGATTATTAAAATAATCGATGACTAATTTAATAATCGATTAATCATTTTCTTTTTTGTTCTTTACTTTGTTTTTCTCTCCAAACAGCTTTGACACCTTCCACTGCCACATCTGCCTTTCTGTCCTTGACACACATGCACAGTAGTGGTAACTGGGGTAGGCCGTGGACGTCACAAGACATTATACAGACAGGCTCTGGTATCATGGCTACCTGACAACAGAGCTCAAAAGTGTGGGATCRTTTTAAGAAAATGAAAGGGAAACCTGTACAATATCTGCAGAGCAGAACTTGCCTTCCACAGCAATTATTTTTAGTTAGCATATAGCTAAAATCTAACAATGGTTATATAATAGCAGCTGCATTCTGGCACGATAAGCACTATGTTTTATATTCAATTAACATATGATCTGATTAGTCGACTAATCGAAAAAAATAATCGGTGATTAATCGATTATAAAAATAATCGTTTGTGGCAGCCCTAGGGTCAAACAATGTTTTAGTCAAACAGAACCAACAAGAATGAAACAAAAAGTAAAGAATTAGAGAAAAAAATAAATGTTAAATGTAAATAAATTCTAATTATAATAAATTAATAATAGTTTTATGTCTAAAAATCATATTTTATTATTTGAATCTATTTTCCTCATTCAGAAACCTATTAAATTTCTGTTATGTTTCATGTAGGAGAAATACACATTTTTTTCAGTCAGTATTTAATACAGCTGGCAAAATAAATTGTTAAAATATGTATTATGTGCTTCTGTTTTTTAATTCAGGAGATTATAAAAAATCCTTCATTTAATGGGAAGACCCTCTTGATTCAAGAGAAAACTCCGGTTTTTAAAAAAAAATGGCTGCTTATTAATTGTTAATCAATCTATAAGATGAATTAACTTCAGATTAATTCATTAATCAATAACTTGCATCCTTAATGAGTTAACTTAATTTATATCTACTCATATTCATGTAATTAAGCGTTTTAATGATTTGGCTGATTAATCAATTAATCGATAAAATAATCAACAGATTAATCGATTATTAAAATAATTGTTAGTTGCAGCCCTAAATTGTTTATGTAAGTAAGTAAAAAAATAAAGAAAGAATCATTTTTTTATCACTTCACTCTGCTGTAAAAAGCAGTTGGCAGTGTTCAGTCTGTTGTAAAAGTTGCAGGTTTGCTGGTATAAATCTTTATTTCCTTCCATTTCTGAGAGTTATTGTCTGCTTTTATTGTGCTCTTAGTCATGATTCTTGCAAGTACATGCTTTTCTTCAAAAAAAACATTTTTACAAGATATTTTCCTAAAATCCTTGTTTTATTTATTTATTTATTTATAGAACTAAAGTATCTGAGTGTAATTAAGTATGTGTGCACTTGAGATCTAAAAAGGCTTCTGTAAACACTCTGGAGTGGCTGTCAGTCAGCGATTTTGCAAAGGAAAATGTGGTTTTGTTCAGACTGCTGAGAGCTGTGTAGGTGGATGGAGTGTTTGGAGTTAAAGTTCTTTTTTAAATGCAATCCAGCTGTCGACATGTCCCGCCCGGCCTCGAGCCCACCCATCACTGAGTGACTAAACCAAAGCTGACAGCTCCATTTGGCTGCAGGAGACTGTYGTGTGTCTGTCCGTGCTTGTAGAGAAATGAGACAAACAGGACAACGAGGACTGATGGGCGTTTTTTAAATGTTTCTACAACAGTTTGGTATTAGACAAAAAAAAAAAGAAAAGAAAAGTGCAGGGGAAGGGACGGTTGCTATGGTTACAAATTTTGTCTCCATCTTTATTTCTCCCTCCCTGTTTTTCCTTCCCGTTTGTGTCAGTCTGTTAAGCTCTGTGTGGCTGTTTCATACTGATGAAGCCCGTCCACCACCATCCTCATCGCCCCTCCTTTAAAACTGAGTTCATCCAGCCTGACAGTGTTTTAATGATATGCTCCTTCCTTCTTCCAGGCCTTTGTAAAGTGTCACTTTAATTACGACCCGACTCATGATAACCTGATTCCCTGCAAGGAAGCAGGCCTCGGCTTCAGCAGTGGAGACATTCTGCAGATCTTTAACCAGGAAGACCTCAACTGGTGGCAGGTAATTTTAGCCACCATCATTTTTAATTATCGTCTGTAAAAGATGAAAGGCGGGCATATTTATCAAAATACATCAAAGTATCTCATGAACCTCCTGACAAAATGCATTCACAAAGTGATGGTTGGATGTACATCCACAGCTGAATATGTCTTTGAGTCATGAACATGATTCAAGATAGCAGTCACATAAATGGCTAAAACACAGTCAGTTTTACAGCTATTGAGCTAAACGTTTTTGTGGTAGTTTTCCCCAACACATATTCAGTGTGGAAACAGATGAGACATTGTTTAAGACTTTGTCCTCAGCCATTGCCTGCCTGTTAGCAGAAAATCTCATTTTGCACTGAATGGATTTTGATGAAACCCAGAAAGCAATCAGTGGATGTACATCCACAGTAGATTAACTTAAGGAGTTAATTCAATTAAAGATGGCCACTGCAGCTATTTGACCTTTACCAACACATGAATGGATTAAACTCTGTCAATTACGCAGCTATTTCTACTACTACTGTTTTATTTGTAAAGCACTTTAAAACAGCTACAGCTGCAACAAACATGCATGTAAAATCACAGAACGTTTAAAAACACACAAAACAGAATAAAAACAAAATCAAAACAACGGAGTAAAACAAATAGGTTTGATTTGGTAGTCACAACTCATACTGAGCGCTACAACACCTCACAATAATGCACGACAATCACACAAGTTATTTCATGGTTTCACCCAAATGACGATAAATCTTTTCTAAACATAAAATGACTAAGATCATTTTATAACTCAATAGGCATTCCTTCATGAAATGCAGGCTTGCTTTATTTGTGTTTCCTGCATATGCTGCAGCTGTGTTTGTTTCACAGGCCTGTCACATTGAAGGGGGGAGCGCCGGCCTGATTCCCAGCCAGCTTCTCGAAGAGAAGAGGAAAGCGTTTGTGAAGAGAGACATGGAGCTCGCTACGACAGGTAAAGGCTCCTCTAATTATGCACATTTCACACTGGTTTCTTCCCTGCATAAACAGCCTGGCAACAAGGACATCTGTTCTCTCTATATAACACAAGTACTGCATCAGGCGCTCGTCTTCCTCTTACCCCTCCTATGAGATCCTCTCACAGTGAGTGCATAAGAGTCAGTGACGAGCATCAAAGGAGCTCAGGCAGCCCAAAACAATCTGCAGGTTATTAAGCCGCAGAATGTGACGTTCACAAAGTGCCCTCGCCGAAACAGAGCGTTGATTCAGGAGCGGTGATAAAACCCCCGTAAACAAAAGCCTGATCAATAACGATTTCTGCTCATATACGACATGGAGCGAACAGAGGTTTTATGTGTTCCCATCGATCTGCTCTACGGAGAGTCGGCGTCGGCAGCGAAGCAGGTGGTGAGTCAGAGCGAGCTGTTTGCCCTTCACTTATGGAGAGGACGACGTTCAACTCTACCAGCCTTGAAGGCGAGAAAGGAAACATTTGTCTTCTGCCACATATTTCCACACATTTTTACCTAAAACATACTTAGAAATAAAATGTTTGAATTGTGTACTTTTGAATAGTGAGACATGGCTGTGAATGAAATATTTAATTAGTTGTTTTTTAAGCTCTTAAGAGAGGAATTTAAAGTGTGTTTTGCCCCAGTTTGAACACAGCCGAGCTCTTCTTGTGGACAAATTTTCTGTCATATTGAACAGAAGGTCAGCAKATTGCTAAGTCACAGGTGTTCTCTGGCACCAAACTAGTTGCACAGATTGATCATTATTAGTGTACACTGCCATCTAGTGGTAGTTTCTACATATTATCCTCTAAGGCAGGGGTCTGAAACCTGCAGTTCTGGGATCAGATGTGGCTCTTTGTTTTCTCTGCAGCAGCTCTTTAAGCAAAACTAACATGRAATTTTTTACAAGTATTTGTGTTAAAGGGGAGATATTATGTATTTTCCAGGCACATAGTTCAATCTTTACCACAATCAATTAACTATCAACAACCTTCAGTTGAATAGAAAATGCTGTATATATCAAATATAAATTTGACTTTGCCTCTGAACACCTTGAAATTAGCCTCTGTCTCTTTAAGAACCCCCTACTGTTTCTGACACTCCCACTTAAGCACGTCTTCACAACAATGCTTCGGGGGAGGGGTGCTCTGTGGGGTGGGAGATTCAAAGATTTTTTCAAACATCCATGAATGAGTCAAAGCAACACTCTGGGTAGGTTTTTGATGAGGGAATGGATTTTAACGACTTTCTTTTCTTGCTTTGTGCAACATATGAATAAGAATGTGCCATTAATACATTAATCCGCTTCATTAGTTTAACCTCAGAATGTAACAARCTACTCTTTGTAAGTAGTCTTATATAAAACTTGTGTTATTGTATTTGTTTCAATCTCCAACTCAAAAAATAAAAACTAAACATTTGCATCTACTTAGATTTACTCAATTCAGTTGAGTAGAATCTGTTCAACATAATTTATTTAAGTAAATCTAAGGCAAACATATTTTTGTTGCTCTGAACAAACTTTATTTAGAGCAGGGGCATAAAAGTTGCAGACCACTGCTATAAGGTTTTGTATTCATGAGATGGCAGAGCTTCTCCCTTCACAGTAAAATGTTTCATCTGTTTAGTTAAAGTGGCAGCAAAAACAAGAATGTTTGGTTTGATGGAGCTGTGCTACTCTCCATCTCAGGTCCTCTGTGTGCAGGGATGGGTGGGAAGAAGAAAAAGAAGATGATGTATTTGACCACTAAGAATGCAGGTAAAAAGAATCATAGCGTTTTGTTGGAGCTTTAAGCAAAAGTCCCTCGTGGTTTATTTCACATTTGTGTCTGGTTCCCGCTTCACTAGAGTTCGATCGGCACGAGTTGCGGATTTACGAGGAGGTTGCCAAAGTCCCGCCTTTCAGGAGGAAGACACTGGTTCTGATTGGRGCACAGGGGGTCGGTCGACGTAGCCTGAAGAACAAGTTGCTGGTGTCTGACCCCCAACGCTATGGCACCACCGTCCCCTGTGAGTTCAGCTATTCACTGTTAGACACCACAAACACTGTCATGCTTTGTTTGTTGATTTATTTGATATGGCAATGCTTATATTGTGTGTCTAGTTTTTCACAGTTTAATTTTAGTTTGTTTTTCATTTTTCACATATTTACTCTGCATTTGATCGGTTGATCCTTGCATTTTACCACCTGTGTACCAATAATTCTCTGTTTTTGTGCCATGCAAATATTCTTTAACAAAACCCTGAAGCTGGTGTTTGCATTTGTCGTTGCCACAGTCACTTCTAGAAAGCCAAAGGTGGATGAGAGGGACTGTCAGATGTACTCCTTCATGTCCCGGAGCGAAATGGAGTGTGACATCAGGAACGGCCGTTTCCTGGAGCACGGCGAGTATGACGGGAACCTGTACGGCACAAAGATCAACTCCATCCACGACGTGATAGAAACAGGAAAGATCTGCATCCTGGATGTCAACCCACAGGTGGGCCTCAATAAGATGTTTCACCCTTCTGATCTCAGTTGGACGAAAGCTTCTCGTCTTTTATTATTTAAATGACTAAATTTACTTACTTTAGCTGCAACTTGTTGCTTCACACACTTTTTCAAACTGATTACATGTTTATTCAAGAATAATACTTAAACTTAAATCCATAAAATCATCCATAAAGTTGGGGGGTAGTACTATACTCGGATAAATATTTTTACTTATGTATTTTAACTGAAGTATCGACTTCATTCACAAAATGCCTCAGTACGGAATTGAGACCACGACGTAAAAAGCAGTTGAAACGAGCTTACCYCTGACACTCCTTCGTGCTTCAGAGCGAGATAATAACAGATCCAAGCAGGCGACATGATGTGAAAAAAAAGGGGGGGGGAGTATTCCTGCACCTTTGTAATGATAACGAACTAATGACATTAGCGTGTGACCGGGCCGCTCCTCGAACAACAACAAACACATGTTCATCTGTAATGGCTGCCGTCTACCGGTGTTCTGAAAAAGTTTGTATCCCTGAAAAAAAACGTTTCCCCACCAGAGGGGGTGTGCGCGAGTAGGAAGTAATCTGCTTTTCCACCACAAGATGACCCAAACCTCATGTGAAGTCTCTGACTTTTTGTGTTGGTGCATCCTGGTGGACTATGTGTAAAATGCCAGAATTCATATGATGCTGCTACAGCTGATATATATTTGTTGTCAAAATACCTAATATGTTGTTGAAATAAAATGAACAGTCCAATGATCATTTTACTGATAGAAAGACTGCAAAGGCTGAAAAATCTTGAAATTTGTATGAAATTGGAGGTAGTTTGAGTTTTAAAATTTTTATGC